CCAGAGAGGCAAGTCCTTGCATAGGTTGCCGGTCGTTACTTGTATAAGACGCTGTTCGTTACTTGTGTAGTCGCCTCCCCTCTCCCTCCCTCCATCCTACGCTCCGGCGCCTTCGCTCCTCCTTTCAGCTCGCGATAAACTCAGCTGTGCTTCGCCTCATCGGCTGCATCCCATCCCCACTGTTCCCTCGGCTGAATCCTCCTTTCCCCTCCCCTTTCCCCTGCACTCGCTCCCAGCTGCATCCGTACTTTTTCTCCAGCTTTATCGCAACCCTCCTCCATCCCTGACACATCCAACTTTCTTTATCACATATTAGTGTGGCATATGTTGAATGCTTTATGCAATTAAATAATCGCCATCAAACAAATCACTTTAGAAAAAAGGACAAATCACAGTCACTTTTTTCAACAAAAGCGCTTTTTCTGCTGCTGCCGTTTGTGGTTGCGAGACGGGAATGGAGATGTAGTCCTGGATTAGCAATGGTAATCCAGGACTACTTCTCTAGTACTGCTCCCAGATATTCATCATTTACCTAAAGAAATCAACTTAACTGCTTCTTGAAGACCCCAAAGCAATAAATCTGTGCTGGCTCTTATTGATTTTCACAAAGTCAACTTTTATAACTCGCTAGAATGTACAGATTTGCAACAGCTATCAAGTATGCATCCAGGAATTCAAGATGTACAAATCATTCCAAATCCAGGAATCCAAAATATATGCATCCAAAAATGTACAAAACATTGGTACATCACCTTCGGGTCTAGATGGCTCGCTGCTGCTAACGTGTATGCGGACACATCGCATTTTACTGAGAGGCACTCAAGTAAAACCCAAGCTGGAACGAACCAGGCGGGCCGGTGCGGTCATGCGTTTTTGAACTATTTTGTGTTACAGCTTGATCGCAATGAAACACAATAGCTAGAATTTATGACATACTGGCCCTCTAAGTGCAGGGAGATAATTGTACAGCTGTGTAGCATGTCAGTTATAAATGTCAGTTTCAGTGGCCCGTCAAACGGAAATTTGCTGGTGCTGGAAAATGACCCTACTAGAAGAGATGAATTTGAAATCTTTTTGTTGCACATGAGCATGGGGCATTCCCTTATAATTTCAGCCTTGCAGCTTTTCTCGTTCTCGAATTAGCAAATTTCCCGCCAAAATTTTCACGTCCTCGTACGTGAGACACAGGTGGTTCTAAGGAACTGGATTTGAAGTTTTTTGGTCGTACATGAGTAGAGAACATTCTCCCAAAGTTTCAGCTTTCTGGCTTTTCTTGTTTCCGAATTAGCAATTTCCCCGCCAAAACCTTCACGTGTCTGTACGTGAGACGTAGACGCGTGTGACAGTCGATATAACGGTCCTGTGGCCAGGGCACACACTGCAAAGTTTCAGCATCAAAGCTTGCGTGGTTGGCATGCAGAAATATCTGAACAGATGAACACACACACACACACAAACGTACATACACACAGACTGGGTCGTCGCAATATGCCTTTTTGCTACCTGTTGCAGCGCTCTGTCGCTGCACGGTAAAAATGCATAAAAAACAGTTACCCGAATAATCTCTCAAAAAATGGCGTGCATATATTGGTAGAAACTGGGGAAAACGAAAGGCTTTTTGTATTTTTGTACAGAAGGATTAATATAGCGCACATTTTTACTTTAGTTTCAAGCTTGAGCAGTGAAACTGGTTTCTCTGTCATCTGGTTTCTCTGCTTTTTCAAAATTCGACTGTTCTTACGGACGCGTTTAGCCATGCCGTCTTGTCGATTAATTTATCTTTTTTAACTGAGCGTTGAGGTTGCAGCTGCATTACCAGGTAAAACAAAATTAACTAATTATAACTTCATCACCGGCTCACAGTGATCTTTCCGTTCAGGATAGACCTGTAACTGTTTCTTTGGCTGCATTTTTGCAGCCGGTAGTTCAGATAGTGGATTTTTATTTGTGCAACCGGCGTCTTTTCTGTCGATTCGATCTTATGCTTACCTTATCTATATCACTTCACACATTCGAATGAGTGAGTCGGCCCAACGTACCA